TTTTTGATTCTGAGTGGTCTTTTCCCAGTGATCTCAACCTCCATAACAGTAAGTGCACCCATGTAGTGCAGTGCCCACAGAGACCAGAAGAGGGCATCGGATACCCTGGAACTGTAGTTACAGATGGTTGTTAGCCACCAAGTGGGTGCTGGGATTCAAACCCATGTGGGTGCTGGGAGCCAAACGCAGGAGTCTATAAGAGCACTTAGTGCGCTTCATCAATAAGCTATCTTTCCAGCCTCTGTATTTCTATTCTAACCATGCTTTCCTTAACACACTGGGCTACCAGAACACTTTGGGATTCTTTACTTTCTTAAAGTTCCTTTCTCTGTCCTTTGGTGGCTGTCTTTGCACATATGTGACCTCCATGCCCATTTTAATTGAAATGTTTTCCATATAGAACTAATCTTCACTGCAGCTGTGGCTCACAGGGCTATTTCTCTTGATTTCTTCTTAACGCTCAGCAACTTATCAGTTCTTGTGGCAGAAAGCCATGCCAGTTCTCAATTCCCCTTGATTATCAGAAGTATATGCCTTACAGCTAAGTTGCAAAGCATGAAATATCTTCATGACACATACATTATTTACTCCTAGCTTTGAGAGAAACAGATTCATTACATCGGTGACAGCACATAACCCCTACATGGAAAGATTAAGTATATATTTGCAGTCAGTACGGGATACATGACTCACCTCAGTATTTATCTTCATTCAATAGAAGCATGACTCTATCTATGACACTACATGTAAAATTCCAAATATTTTCAAGTGTATTCTTCACAATTACTGAAACTGACCACACTATATCATGGGATATAATCAAGCACCAACATATTACAGGAGTTTTTCATCAGAGAGAATATGTCCTATTTTCTTGTTGCTACAAGAATTTCCTGAAGTTATTAAAAGACACTGATTAAGAGAATGCGATCAGTCCAGAATTCTGGAAACTAGAAATTTCCACATATTGTCTTGAGTATCTCTCTCAGTTTCTGGTCTCTGAAGGAAATATTTCACCAACCTTTGTTTTCAAATGTCTGCCTTCATCTTCACATTGAATTTGCTCTGGGGTTTTGTTTGGTAGAAATTAATTAAAATTTTAAAGCTTAATTATGCATATTTACAGACTAAGACATGACTTTTAATCTACTCTTTCAATATGGAAAGTTTCATTAAATATAATTCTTAGCAGCAAATTTAATTTTTATTTACATTAAAAATCTATTATTTTTGCCAGGCGTGGTGGCGCACACCTTTAATCCCAGCACATGGGAGGCAGAGGTAGGCAGATCTTTGTGAGTTTGAGGCCAGCCTGTAGCTGGGGCTACAAGGAGACCCTGTCTCAAAAAAGAAAAAAAAAAAATCTATTATTTTCACACAGAACAATTGACATATTATTTGTAATGTATGTGAATGACATACAAGTTTAATTCTTAAAATGTACTGAGGTACACATGGTATATCAGAATAATCTCATCTTAAACAATTTGTAGTTCAAAGACAATATTTCATCAAACAAATTTATTGCATTGGGGAAGAATTTCTGTTTACTTATAGTACAGGCAAAATTTATCCAATGTTGCAATTTTATTGAAGTTTTCAAAATACAAAATATAAAGAAAATGGTTTATTGATGTGTCCCCCAGGTGGCTGATTCCTCCGAAGGCAGGGCCTGCCTCGTGGGAAGAACTACTGAGGGGCTGCTGAGAGCCACCTTGGAATGGAAGCCAGGAGCGGTAGGTAGCATGTTGTGCAGGGAACGTGCAGCTGCAGCAGCAGCAGCCAGGCATATTCAAGGACAGAATGGCCAATCAGAATGGACCTGGGGCAAGGAAGCTGACCTCTGTTCAAAAGTTGAACATCCAAACTTTATTCTGAGACTCAATGTAATCTCTTGTTTTACCATCTGCAAAATAATAAAGCAGATTGCATATTTCCAAAATACAATGGAACCAAATGTACATTCCATTCAAAAATGGAATAGGGACATAATGAGAAAATATGCAAGCAAACCAATTCATATAACCACCAGGACAAAGAGTAAACCCTGTGGTTCCGTGTCCAGTACTAGGGCTTTAGGACTAAGTGCTCAGGTGGCTGTTTTTCTAGCTTTGCTGCCTACAGGATACATCTTTGTTTTGCCCTGGTTCAATTTCTTGTACAAAGTTCACCTTGACAGGTGTCTCACAGATAACATACATTCAAAAAGATTGGCGTCTCCAATGCAACCAAGGCCTCACATTCACAGATTCATGCAATGCTCCTTTCTGCCCTCCTTGCCTTTCTTTCATGGCCTTCTCTTAGTGACTCCAACAGTGGTGAACACTGTATGGTCTTAGCTGCTGTCTGAATCCATGGGAGAGGACTCCAGTACTCCCTCAAAGTTCCACCCTTCATGCCTCCAAACCCAGTATCACCAGAACATCACTGTCAAGTTCGGCTGTCAGCTTCAGATGCATATTCACCTTACTGAACCAAATTTCCAGCAGTTTCTGTACTTTGTAGTTTTCTAGAAGCAGAAAATGCACTAGACTTTCTGCTTTCTCAAGCTTACCTGGATGGAGTGTAATCCTGAACTCATCCTCTCCATTGTTGCTGAGTAGAGTAGAAGACCTTTCATTAATGCCTTAATCTCACTAAAAATTAAAGCTTCTTTTGCTGCACAAGACTTGACTTCAATAATATAACATACTCTTTTCTACCCCAAACTAGAAGACCTTTCATCAATGCCTTAATCTCACTAAAAATTAAAGCTTCTTTTGCTGCACAAGACTTGACTTCAATAATATAACATACTCTTTTCTACCCCAAACGGTACATTTTGCATGTCTTCTTGAGCTGCTGGCTCTTTTTCATCAGAGATCTGTATGAGTCACCACTGATAATCACACCACAGATTCAATATTAGGGTATCTTGAAATGTTTTTTACCAAAAATTTAGTTGATTGCATTTTAATTTAGTTTCACAGGAGTTCTAAGGACTCTGGCAGATGGTAACCAGATTATTTGGTGAAGTATAAAAATGGGCTCTAGAACGGTTGCTATATATGTCTTTGTTTCCTTGTCACTCTCAAACATTTTGAACCAGGTTCTGATTAGAATAGCCCATCAAGCTCCATTACAGAATTCAACAACTTTTGTTGCCTAAAGTTCCAAAATCTTCATCCTTTCAAGAACAACACCCTTTCTTCACAACAATGCCCCACTTCTGGCATCAACTTCAGTATTAGTTACTTTTCCGTTGTGATAAAGCATCATGACCAAGGCATGTTATGAAAAGAAGTTATTTGGCCACATGGTTGAAGAGAGGTAAGAGTCCACCATGATGGGATATTTGAATGAAAATGTCCCTCAGAGATTCCAAGTATTTGATGATTTGGCCATAGTTGGTAGCACTGTCTACAGAGGTTAAAATGTGTATCCACACTAAAGGAAACAAGTCACTGGGGTGAACTTTGAGAATTCATACACTTGTCCCATTTCCAATTTATTTCCCTTTGCTTCCTGTGCCTGCTTGAAGATGTGAGTGCTTGGGTTTCAGCTGTGGCTGCCTCCTTACAGGTCTACTTGGTCGTGATGCATTCTTTTTATCTCTGGAACCATACACCTTCTATAAGCTGCCTTGGTGATTATGCTTTATTCAAGGGAAAAGAAAAGTAGCTAGTACACTGGCAGAGAATCACTGCAGTAAATGGCAGGCATGGAGGCAGGAGCCAAAGACTGGACATGTTATCTTCAATTGGAAACATGAAGCAGAGAGTAAAGTGGAAATGGGGTAAGACTATAAACTCTCAAAACCCACAACCACTGAAACACTTCCTCCAACATGGTGGCATCTGCTAAACCTCCCAAAAAAGCACCACTAACTAGGAGCACAGTATTCAAATATTTGAGATCATAGGGGACATTTTTGACCACAGCATTCTTTGTTAGAAATTACAATATTTAAATTATTTTGGTGATGGGGTCCCTGCCAAAGTTCAAATAATGTCATTATCACCATAGCAGTTTCCATTGATGTTTGGTTTTACAATTTTTTCAGGTCTTTTGGAGACAGGGTCTCCCTGTAGCCCCAGCTGACCTGGCACTTACTATGTCAACCAGGCTGGTTTGAACTAAGAGAACCTCCTGCCTCTTCAAGAGTAATCAGTACTCTTTACTGCCGACCGATCTGTCCAGTCCACAATGTTTTTACATGTTATTTATGAGGCTTCGCTTGCTTTTCTTTTGTTTAATATTTTTATTAATCATTTGAAAATTTCCTACAATGTATTTTAATCAGATTCTCCCTCTTACCTTCCTTTTGTTCGTTTATCATGGTATTTTTTCATTAGAAATGGGGAAAGCACACTAGCACGCCACCTCCTGTAAAACTGTGTTTTGGTTCTTTGTTTTGTAAAGGTATCAAAATACATGCATTATTGCAGTATTGTTTCTTACTGCAAAACTGTATTGGAGCCTAATATTGTTGGCCATTCTTTCAATAGAAAAGAGCATTTCAGTCCATATGATTAAGTGACCAATAAAAAAAGCTGACGCAAAGAGTATGGTGTATGTTTTAAAATAAAACATAAATTCAACACCCACAAATTATGGGCTTAATTAAATTTTTGTACAATTTTGTTACATTCACCTCCCTCTCTCTAATTTAACTGTATGTTACTTGAATTTTAATTTAACTAATAAAAAGAAACCTTAATGAACCACTCTTCTGTACTTTGTTCTATTGACTTGAAATCACCCTTGTCTCTTGTAAAATGAAATGATTCACATTCGTAGAAATAACATTTTTAGTAGAATATTTAGGTTAAAGCATTGAATATATATGAGTTTTATTTATTTAACTAAAATAAATATATACAACCTAAAAGATTTTTTTTTTTTTTTTGGTCTTTTTGAGACAGGGTCTCCCTGAGGCCCCAGTTGTCCTCAAACTTTCTATGTAGATCAGGCTGGCCTTGAAATCACAGATATCCACCTGACTCTGCCTTCCAAGTGCTGTGATTCAAGGTGTGCACCACCACACGCAACCTAGCTTAAAAGATTTTGAAATATTACATATGATATTTTGAAATATCATATATGTGGGTCAGTTACAACACAAATAAAAAGAAAAGGAACATTATGCTCAACATATTAATGCTAGAGTTCATTATCTGATACTTACAAAGAGGTAGTCTAAAATGTCAATAGACTAGAACAGGGTTAAAATCCCAAATTTCTTTGCTCTATACTTTTCCTACATCAAGTAATACTAAAAACATCTAACAATTTTTCCTATTGTATAATTCATCACCAAATGAATGTGCTAGACTATTTGTTTTCCACACTGAAACATGGGTACTGATGCACCTCCAATACTCAAGACTGACTTTTTCTTTTAATAATAGAAAGATGTCCAGAACACCTAAGGCACTGCAGAATGCAATCTCATTACTAAAAAGAAAATAATCTCCATTTAGATATTGGGGCAGGATATAATATAGCAATTATTCATGGAGCAATTACATGAATGAATTATTTCTAATTTGCAATATATTCATTCAGGTATGAGTCAACGATTACTATAAATTATCATATAATCATGAGGAAAGAAGAAAATTTGGTTGAGGATCAAATAAACCTACAAAGTTTTCCCTTTAATAAATTCCAATACTGGGAATACAAGTATAAAAAAAAGAACACAGTTAAATCTACAAAAACATCACATCTAATTCTATTAAAATATACTAGCAATTGATGTTATTACATTCATTTTGTTTCCCATAATACTCTTGCCTTGCCATACGGTCTTAATTAGATCGTGCTGTGGTCCCTTTTGTTATGAAAAAAATTGGTCTTAGGATATATAATGTTACCATTTTAATTAAGATACTTTCCTTAATATATTGTAGGAATTTCTAAATTCTGTGTGTTCATGAAAGTGATCACATATCCACATTTGATTCCTGTTACTAAATTTGTTTCACAGTCTTGATACTTATATTTCACAAAGTGAAATTTTTTTTAAGTTGCAGAGGTCAGAAGTGGGCTTCGGATTCCCCTGAACCTGGAGTTAAGGACAGTTCATAGCAGCCATGTGGGCACTGGGAATCAAACCCAGGTCTCTGCAAGAGCAGTCAGTGCTCTTAATTGCTAGCCATCTCTCCAGCCCCCAGAGTGAAATCTCTGACAGTGAATAACTGGTAGATTTAAGAATTTTGAGAGGTTTCTCTGAACTATGAATTTTCTTCTGTGTTCTAAGATTAGAGTTCTATGTAAATGATTCCTCATATTCTTTTGAGCTGTAGAGTTTCATTACACTATGGATTCCGTGACATTCAAGATGATTTGAAGTTCAAGTCTTTTTCACAGTCTTTATATATCTAGTTTCTCCCACATATGAGTTGTCTCATGTTGAAGAATAGCTTTTGTTGAAGATTTTGCTTCACCAAATTTAGTTCGAAGCTTTGGCGTCATATAAATTCTGTTTTCTAGGATTTACTTATCAAAGTTTTCTTCATTATAACTACCTTTAAAAGAGTCTCTCTATAATGAATTCTGTAATGATTTTTAAGTATTTAGCACAGGGTGAAGGTTTTGCTGCATTCTGTACTTCCGTAGCCTGCTCTCCAGTATGACTTCTCTGTGAGTTCTAATATTTGACATATAAAGGAACTGGCCAAATTACTTACATTTGTAGTGTTTTTATTCACTATTAATTCTCTATTGTTCTCTTAGAGGTGAAATATGATTAAGGGGCTTGATGCAGTCTTCATATTCTTAGGGGTTTTCTCTGACGTAGTTTCTTTCATGGACTCTAGGATTACATATTTGATTAAAGAACTTTTCATATTCTCACATTTCTGGGGCTTCTCTCCAGTATGAATTCTTTCCGATGTTCTAAAATACGATATATGTGTAAAGGACTTGTGACATTTTCCACATTTGTAGGGTTTTTATCCAGTACGGATTCTTTGATGTCCTCTAAGATGTGATAGTTGACGAAAGGACTTCTCACATTCTGTACATTTGTAGGGTTTCTCGCCAGTATGAACTCTTTGGTGTCTCCGAATTTGTGATATCCAGCTAAAGGACTTTTCACATTCTTCACATTTGAAGGGTTTTACCCTTGAATGAATTCTTTGATGGCTCCTAAGTTGTGAGCTTACAGTAAACGATTTGTCACATTCTTCACATTTGTAGGGTTTTTCTCCAGTATGGATTCTTTGATGTACTGTCAGATATGATAGATGACGAAAGGACTTCTCACATTCTGTACATTTGTAGGGTTTCTCGCCAGTATGAATTCTTTGGTGTCTTTGAAGATTTGATATGCGACTAAAGGACTTTTCACATTCTTCACATTTGAAGGGTTTCAGCCTTGAATGAATTCTTTGATGTGTCCTAAGTTTTGAGCTTTTTGTAAATGATTTGTCACATTCTTCACATTTGTAGGGTTTTTCTTCAGTATGAATTCTTTGATGTTTCCTAAGGTTTGAGCTTGTAGTAAACAATTTGTCACATTCTTCACATCTGTGGGGTTTTTCTCCAGTATGGATTCTTTGATGTCTCCTAAGTTTTGAGTTTACTGTAAAGGATTTGTCACATTTTTCACATTTGTAGGGCTTCTCTCCCATATGAATTCTTTCATGTGCTCTAAGATATGATGTACATATAAAGGACTTGTCACACTCTTCACATTTGAAGGGTTTCTCACCAGTATGAATTCTTTGGTGTTTTCTAAGATGTGATATTTGACTAAAGGACTTTCCACATTCTTCACATTTGTACGGTTTTTCTCCAGTATGCATTCTGTAATGTTTCCTAAGTGTTGACTTCTCAGTAAAGGACCTGTCATATTCTCCATATTTGCAGGGCTTCTCTCCATTATGAATTCTTTGATGAGCTCTAAGAAATGATAGCCACATAAAGGACTTTCCACATTCTTCACATTTGTAGGGTTTTTCTCCAGTATGGATTCTGAAATGACTCCTAAGTGTTGAGTTTGTAGAAAATGACTTTCCGCATTCTTCACATCTGTGGGGTTTTGATCCTCCAGTATGAATTCTTTGATGTACTCTAAGATTTGATACTCGACTAAAGGACTTTCCACATTCTTCACATTTGTAGGGTTTTTCTCCAGTATGGATTCTGCAATGACTCCTAAGTTTTGAGTTTGTAAAAAATGACTTTCCGCATTCTTCACATCTGTAGGGTTTTGTTCCTCCAGTATGAATTCTTTGATGTGCTCTAAGATTTGATACTCGACTAAAGGACTTTCCACATTCTTCACATTTGTATGGTTTTTCTCCAGTATGGATTCTGCAATGACTCCTAAGTTTTGACTTTGTAGAAAATGACTTTTCGCATTCTTCACATCTGTGGGGTTTTGTTCCTCCAGTATGAATTCTTTGATGTGCTCTAAGATTTGATACTTGACTAAAGGACTTTTCACATTCTTGACATTTGTAGGGTTTCTCTTCTGTATGAATTTTCTGATGTCTTCTAGGAGTTGAAATTGCTGCATAAATCAAAGTAGAAAGAATAACTGAATCATGGAGAATAAGGCTGAGACAATAACACACCCAGAGATATATAGTGAAAAGGTAATAATCATGAATAAAATTTCCCAAAACCCTGAGAAATATTTAAGTGACAATAAACAACAACATTGGCACTCAGGTAAAAAGAGAGTCAGAGAAATTATTCAACAAAATTATAGCAGAAACTTTCAGAAAAACAAGAACATAAAATTGAAATACAATAAGAAGAGGTAGTTAGGAAGCTCAAATAGATATGGACAGAACTCTCCATTTAAAACCATATCAAAAATGTTAAAAATAGAAAGCAAAAATCAATGCTGAAACTTGTATGGGAAAAATCCCAACTCATTACAAACGTAGAAATAATGGATTAATAGTGTATCTCTTGCTAAGAAACACAAAAGACAGATCTGAAATAATATATTTAAAGCACTGAAAGTGACACTATGTACTAAATTTGATACTGAGAAATATTTTATGCCTTAAAATTAATGAAGGTTGAAAAGTTTTGAAGACGTGCCCAAATGAAGAAGAAAACCAAGGTGGCACTTCAGAATTTGTGTAAGAGAACATATACAGAGCACGAAGACACTTTCATTCAAGAGAACAGAAGAAAGAATACAATAGATAACGGCAAGTGATGAAGGTATAAGATCCCAAAAGGAATAAAATCATGCACAATACAGAAAATCAGTAAATCTCAATATTAATACTAATTAGAGGGGAAGAAAATAGCTCTTAGTAATCCAACCACACAGAATACCTTCAATATCAAAGTGATACATCAGATACCCTCTCAAAAAATTCCTAAATAACTAAATGACTTCTTATATACCTGTGTCGCAACTCACAAATTGAAAACAAACAACTTATGTGGGTTAAACTCTGACTGAGAGAAATCTGGGGACAAACTTGATACCTCTTAACAAATTTGTCATTTGCATGACAAATGCAAATGCATGAAAGCTGGAGGGTCCAGAGAGGGCATTGTGTCTAAATATGATTAAGAGGTATTGTATGAAGAACATGAAAATTCAATAAAAATATATGTTAAAGACAAAAAAAAAAAGCAAAATTCAAGAATCACTTCTATCCAGGAATCTCATATTCTGAAAGACAGTCATAAATTTGGAATCAATTATAGCATTCAGTGTACCAGGCAAACAGAATTTGTAAACCTGATGGAATCTCAATTTTCCTATATCATAAAAAGACCACAAACAAAACTAGGAAAAATAGATTAAGAGGCTCAGCATATGTTAGTAAGAGATAAAGGAACGAGACATATAGAATAACTGTTTATGCACAAAATTTTAGGATTCCTAGTTTCAAAATACAAAAATTAAGTTAAAAATAAGTAACACAGTTCATGAAACCATAGCAAGAGATGTATCAGTTCAACATGCTAAACTCTAACTAAGATTTTCCAAACTAAAATTCAGAAAAAAAAAAATATCAAGAGCTGAACTGCAGGTTAGATAAAAGTATTTCATTAATGTCTACAGAATGTTCCATGCAGGGCATAAGAAATAAAAATTACTCTCAGATGCACACAGAAATTTTTAAAATATTTTATTTATTTTCACTTCTTTATATGTATAAATGTATTCCCTATATGAATGTAAAGGCAACTGTCCCATGCAATGCCTGCAGATGTGTCAGAAGAGGACAAAGATCAACTGGAAATGGAATTATGGATGGTTGTTAGCCATTATGTAGGTGTTGGATGGAAATCAAAATTAGATCCCATGTACCAGCAGCTGGTGCATTTAACTGCTCAGCCAAATCAACAGCCCCTCCATCTAGAACTTTTTTAAACAAATGATCCCAATATATGTTACAAAGCAAGCATTAATTAAAAATAACTATAAAATTGTTACTATGATTTAAAATACAGTGGAGATATATAAATAAGCGGGAAAAAACAATCTATGTATCTTCTGACTATGTACTGGGCAACTACCACAATCAAGGAGAGAATTTACAAATTTCAAGTATAAAATGAACATGATACTACATCTTCTCAAAAACTCTGTGATCCAGCTAAGGCCCTTGGAAGAAGCAGCTTTATGTGTAAAAATGAACACAGAAAACTATCAGAGAAATAACCAATAAATATCTGAGTAATGCAACTCGAATTTCTGCTTCATCAAGAAGCAAAACCATTCACTGGATGAGAAGAAATAACAAGTAAACCAGAAATGAGCAAACAGAAAATAAAAAAGAAAATGTACAACCAATCAAATAATCCACTGAAATAACTGACAAATGACAAGTAAAATTAATCAAAAAAGAGATAAAAAACAGAAACTAATAAAAACAGAGGTAGAAAGGGGTTTTTTAAAATGCACTATAAGGAATAACTTCACATCATTAAGAACAATGAAGCACTATTTCAATGTCTCCCAATGGCCCAAATTTAGATGGATTCACAACTGAAATACCACACAGGTATTTTTCAGTCTTTTAAAACTATATTGGGAAAACAAACTAATAAACAAAGGCAACTATGTGCAATGACAAATACTGCACTGACTTATCAATACTTAATTGTCACTTATGAATTACACGTGAGCACCGAAAGAGGTATGATAAGGGCGTGGGATAAATATTTAAATATTTTCCCCCATTTTTATTAGCATTTTTCAGAATTTTGTGCAATGTATTCTGATCACATTCACCTCCTCATCCCATAATGCATCCCAGATCCAGGGCCTTTCCCTGTCCATGCATACAATGCTGCCTCTCTTTATTTTTCTGTCAGTTTAAAACCATCAAGTCACATTTATCCTGACATACTTTTGGTTGTGAAAGAATAGTTAACCTAGGTGGGCACACACACTTGAAGAAAACTGACTCTTCAGTGCATCGATGAATCCCCAATACCTCCTGGACAAAGGGTCAGACTTTTTTTTTTTCGTCCCAACTACAAGACAGGCATCATTTTACAGCTCTACACAATGGTCTGTCAGGGTATCTTGGCCTGTCAGGGACTCCCCTGCTACATACTACCTGGCTTCAGCAGCTCTCACACTGCAGAAGAACTGAGGAGGGCTCACTCTGATATTCTCCATGTCTCTGTCATCAGTTCTTTGTATCCTAGCTATTCAGAGTATGGTTCATAAACCCTCAAATAATTTTAATTAGCATTTCCCTAACAGCTAAGGATTGTGGATGAATTTAAAAATATTCCCCAGCCACTTTTATTTCACTTTTTGAGAACACTGGTCAGATCTATAATTCATTTTTAATTTGGTTGTTTTCTTGATGTGTTTGATTTTTTGTTCCTTGTATTCCAGACACTAATACACTGTCAAAAGCATAGGTGGTAGGTACTCTTCCATGCTAAAGCCTGTCTCTTTACTCCAGGACATGATATTGCCCTCTGCTTTGTGAAAGTTTTTTTCTTTTCACGGGATCCATTTCTCAATAAATCTAATCAAAGAAATAAAACACAGAATTCTAAAATTAAATCTTTAAGATACTTAAGAAACTAACTGAGGAAGATGCTAGAATCCAAAGACAACTCCCATGGACATTAACCAGCAGAATCAGTATTATGAAAATAGTCATCCTACCAAAAGCAATCTACAGAGTCAAAGCAATCAGTATCAAAGAATCCAACACAATTCTTCACAGAAGCTGAAAAAATACCCTCAAATTGTGAATGAAAACAGAAAACCCAGGACAGGCGAAAAGTTATGAACAATAATAGAATACGTGGAGGTATCATCATCCCTGATTTCAACTTATACTACATAGCTAGAGAAAGAAAGATAGAATGGCACTGGGGTAAAGAAAGCTGACACACTGATCAATGGAACAGAATTGAGGATCCAGATTCAAGCCCACGTTTTTAAAGTCACTTTATTTCTAAAAAGGAAGCCAAAATTACACATTGGAGAGAAGACAGCATCTTCAACAGATGGTGATGGATAGCTTGACAGCTACATATAGAGAAGAAAACTACATTCATACCTCTCCTCCTGGACAAATTCAATTTCAAATGGATCAGAGACCTTGACATAAGACTAATACTTTGATAGAGAAGGAAGAAGGGAAGAGAACAGATATTATCAACAGGGAAGAAGATATTCTAAGCAGGACCCCCGTTGAAGCTTTTAGATCATGGAGATATGGTATGGTGGGAAAACTACTTGGTGTGTATGCCTGAGGATCCAAGTTTTGAAGTGCAGCCCTCGTGAAAAAAGTCTCATCTTTGTGTCAGGTTTCTGGACACCTTTGCTAGTATGCAGAAAAGAACCTGGAGTCCACTGTCCATAAAATCCAGGCAAATGGAGAGATAGAATTTTGGTTGAATTTTGTCTCAAAAAAAAAATTATTTAACAATAAGGGAAAACAATTGCAGTAAGTCTCCTCTCAATCAACACCTGCACAGAATGGTAAATGCACTCTGAAACACCAATGCACCCAGACCTACGCTGCACATAAAAACACCAACTTTTTTGTACTCCAAAAGGAAGTTTCCAAGAAAAATTTAGTAAGTATCTCATTTATATTCACATTGAAATATAGCAAATTGCCTCACATTAAACCTAAGGAAAGAAGTTAAACATTTCACAGCAAGAAATGTAAGGCCCTGAAGAAAGAAACTGCACATGCGACCAAACAACATAATGATTAGTCATCCTCATTCTTGAGCAAAATGGATCCTCTGTAAATATTACTAAGGGTGGTCACAAAACTCAATGTAGTACTCATAAAAAGCCAAATGACATTGTAGAAAGAATTATGAAAGCACCCCAAAACACTAACTGTGGAACACTACTCACCAAAGGATCCAAGTCAACAGATTAAAGAAACAAAAATAAAGCAGAACAAGGGGGGGGAGCAGTATCCTAATAGCTGAGTTAAAATTAAATTTCATTACCATAGAGACAAAGACAGCATGGTACTTATAAATATCAAACAATGTAAATCGATGGAAAAGTACAGAAAACACAAAAATAAACTAACACATCTCTAGCCATCATATTTTTTACAAATGGTTAAAAAAAACAGGCACTGGAAATAAAGGGAACCTCTTTAATAAATGGTGTTATCAAAACAGAGTATGTAAAGGAAAAAGGAATTAAATTAGATCCAAACCTCCAATCTCTGCAAAACTCAATTTGAAATGCATAAAATGCTTTAATATATAAAGCTTGATAGTCTGAAGGTGATAGAGGAAAACTTCAGGAGGTAGGCATAAGCAAGGATGTTCTTATCATACACCAAATCACTCAGGAAACAACCTGAACAACTGAAAAAAATGTATTGTTTGAAATAAAAAATGTGCTCAAGAATATAAACTGCAGGAAGAATGAGACATATTATCATATACTATGTCAACATCTAGAATACACAGGATTTGCAAAATTAAGTGTCAAAAGATGAAAATTTCAAATCTACAAACTAAACAAATACATACATCTCCAAAAAGAAGAAAAACAAATGGCCTGTAATAGTAACAATATAGTAAAGATCTTTAACCATTGTTTGGGAGATACTCAGGCCTAAGTGGCACATTTACAATGGAACCACGAAACCCTAATGCTTACAGAATATACTGGACCAGGGGTAGAGAGAAATAATATTGCATCTGACAGCTCTCACGAGTGAAGCCTCCTCATGCAAGTGTTAATAAAACAGATGCCAAAACCTGCCAAAGCATGGAAAATAGAGACTGTAGAGTGCATGTCCCTACATTAAACCACACGCACACATGGATCAGAGATCTGATGGCCGAAAGGAGTAGAAAGATCATAAGTCAAGGGTGGTGATTGACCATGAGGAAACAAGAGTTTTCCAGGCTTCCGGGCCACATCATGCACAAGACCCATGTAAACTCAAAGCAGATGAAAACCTAGCATAGAACTGGGGTCACGAGTAAGAAACCAGACCTTAGCAACGAACTCCTGGCAGCTTATCACTGCTAGGTGAGGGAGACTTAGTTTTCTTTAAGGAAGTGATCCTAGATAGGCAGACCAGGCTCTAGTGGAGGAACTCACACAGAGGGATAGGTTGCAACACTAAGTTGACTCCACAGGTTTTAACATATATGACAGAAGGCATGGAAACCAGTGGGAGGCCTGTGGGGTGTGAAGATAGGGATGGGATCCAAATATGATTAAGATTTATGGAATTGACAAAAAAGTTCAATGGAAATACACATTCTAAAATTTAAAAATAAATGTTGTAGAAGATCAATGTTTTGCAATCTGTTTTTGAAGAACTGTGAACACAGACATCAACAGAAGATAGAAAACAGAAGAATTCACATATATCATGTGGAAAGCCACATATATTTAACATATTGGTA